CGCGAACTCGCCGCGGCGCCCAGAGTCGGAGCGGCCCCGGTGGGGCGCCTGGCGCGCGCGGCTCGGAGCTGGGGGCAGACCCTAGGCTGCCCCTGGACGCTGCGACCTCCCGCCTCGGGGTCTTCCCCCTTCGCGCGCCCCGCCCCAGTCCCCCGGAATTCGAGGCCCAGACCCGTGTGGGTACCCCTCCTCTGTGCCGAGGCGTCTCTCCTGCCGCGCCCGCTCGCCCCCGAAGGATTATTTTTGGCTTCCTGGCGCGGCAGCTCGGCAGCGCAGCCACCGAGCCCGAGGCACCCAGGCGCCCCCCACCCCCACACCGCGGGAAGGCAGGCGACCCGCCGGGGGAGGAGGGGCGCTGCGGTCCGGAGGAGGGGGCCTTTTCAAGAACCTTAAAAGTCGTATCTTCTCCCCAGAGGAAACCATCGAGGCTCACCTGGGCGAGAGAAGCTGCTCCGCAGCAGGCGATCCCGGCCCACGCCCCTCGCCCGCCAGAGGGGAGCCTGGCGGTGTAAACAAGGTCTAGGGGTCCCCGTCGGGATTGGAGAGCCGCACAACGGGGGAGCGGCCCCCGCCGCCTCCCGGCCCCATCGGCTCAGCGGGAGGATGCACGCGCCCCGGGAGTCTTTACTTCGACGGAGGCAAACGGGGACACGTGTGTCAGTGTGTGTGTGAGTGATATACGTGTCACGGGCAAGGGTCTGACCTGAACGTGTCCGCGACCAACTCGAGTTAAGTCCCTGGGGGGTTGTTTGCGGAGACCCGGAGGAGGACGTTGCCAAAGCCGACTAGGTGACCTGACCAGGTGGGGCCCCAGTTAGAGAAGGCCTAACCCCCTGAAGGGCGCGGAGGTGGTCCGGGCCCAGCCCGCTGCGTGCTCCCGCGCCCACGGGGGCGGACACCAGCCCCTACACCCCTCGCTCTTCTCCACGCCCCTGAAAACCGAGAAGCCGCAGGGCCCGCGGCGCCCGTAACTCGGGCACGCCTCCGTGGGGGTCTCTTCCGGGGGACGCAGGCCGCCGGCCCCGTTTCCCAGCACCTGGGGGGCGGAGCCCGAGGTCCCCGGCCAGGAGGGAGGCGCGGGC